AAAAAAAAAAAAAAAAAGAGTTAACACAGCTCAGAAGGAGTTACAAACAAAAAGTGAGAGACTGTCCTCCCACTTCTTTAAATGTTTCAGAGTTAAAACTTTGAACACAGTTAGCACTGCATACAAAAGCTCATGGGTTTGTACATTATAATTGCACATTGGCAGAGTAGTTGGCAGGCTACTACAAGCTTTTTCTGGAACATTTCCACTTTCCTATATTGCTCTAAACTCTGTTCTGAAGAATCCAGCCTCTGGCAAAACTGTAAATTAGTCATCGTAATCTTTTAAATCACAATTACAGGACTAGCTAAAACAGGTTCTACAAAGTGATGAGGCATTGTATCACCTGAATTCTTACAAAAGGACTTTCAGGGATTTTAAATAAATAAAAACACACTCTGAATGCATGCATATTCAACTGTAACACAGGCTGAATGCTACACAGAAGAGAGCTGCAAGCTCAGAAAGAAAGCTGAGCTCCTATTCAGACATTGTATTTAACACAACAAGACTTGAATTGTAGCAGAGTGCTGCAGGCAAACTCAAATGCCTGGTCCACATACCTTCAGGAATACTGCTGTCCAGCAGAATGGGGTTTCCAACTGCTTCAACTACATTTCCTTTCTTGTCAAATGTAACATTTAAGTAACCAAGATATTTTCCATAAGCATAAGCTTGTACAACTGGCACCTTCCTCCCATCATCTGATTCAACCATGAATGGATATGGGCCAGCTGGCACTTCAGTAGAGGGTGGGGTGCCTGCATAGAACAAGCATGAAAAGTGGGTCTTCAGCTCATGTGACCTTCAAGGAGTTACTACAGTGACATTTGAAATGTTTCTCAGCCTTACAGAACCCAGATAGGATAGAAACAGCCATGACTGTATTGGACAACAAGCACACATTTGATTGTTCAGTTATCTCATAGGAGACAATGTTGTGTCCAGGACATGAACTCAAATAATTACCACAGTGTTTTTAGCTTGTGACAGCACACTCCGTCATGACATCCCATCACAACAGCAACAATCCAACTTTTCATTCCAATTATTGCAATCTAAACCCCTCAGTAATGCAAACATACCAGCTACTGGGTGAAAAGTTTATTGTGGAGATTTCATACTACTTTATTCTGCATCAGATAGAAAATAAGAATCTTAGTAAAATATACATCAGACTCCTTGATCTGCAAAAGTCTAACAATTTTTTACTGTTAATAATCAGATAGAATACATACTAACAGTTCTGTGAATTTGTACATATAGCCAGCTCTTTTTTTTTCACTATACCAAACAGCCTCTAAAATTTCAGACAGACTGCAAACCCTCTGCAAAAACAAACTTCATTAGCATTAAAGTTGTGTGGTCATGGATGTAAAACTCCTATCAACCTGCAAAGTCTGAAAGGTGACTAGAGGTAGGACTTGGAAATGGATTAAAGCAGGCCACTGTCAGAAAAAAAGAGACAGCTCAATTGGCATAGGCTACCACAGGATTTAGAAACGACACAGGGGCAGAAAGTGGCAAAGAAACCTGGAACTGCACAGCACAGCTCTTGCCTCAAGGGTGCCAGCCTTCTCCGTGTCTCCTCGACAATATCTGAGTAGTGACAACATTATCTGAGTAGTATCTTTCACTGCTGTTATTCCTGTCATTATTTCCGCCCCACTGTCAGAGCAAGGCTGGGTAGCTCCAAGAGGCATCACGTGCTGTGTGACAGAGCTGCCTCAGAGCCTGCTCCTTACTCCTGTCCCAAAGGCAGCAGCATTTCCCATCCATGTACTGGTGAGCACTGGCCTGCTCGCAAGGCAGGGGCATGGGGGAGCAGGTGCAGAGGACGTGGTTCCTGAGGAAAGCAGCCTCTTAACTTCCACAGCTCACAGAACAACTTGTTTCCTTCCATTTGCAGTTGTTTACATAATATTAAATCCTAGAATAAGCAGCATGATAAATATTTCTTCTAGAACTCCAATACCATTCATATTCCTCTCTAATCCCTCCTATTTCTCCAGGGAGAAGAGCTGCAACGAACTGCAGAGTGAACCAAACTTACCACAGAACTAGCTTTTCTACTTTCAGTCAGACCAACAGAGTTGGTTTCTTGGAATGCCACTTAACTATCCATTTATTTGGGGAAGAATTTAAGAAATCCTGTAGCTAATGAGGACTTATCCAGGATTTATGCATGCAAAAGTGGCTTTGGGATTTTCTGAATTGAAAAAGGAATCAGTTTTGACTTCTTGTCCCCATTTAGTCCTCAAATGAACACAGCATTAGAAAGATAAAGTTATTATTTCTAGGCATTGTTTTAGTTTATATCAGCTGTGTGTAGTTAAGTGCTCGTCCAGAGTCTTACTCATTTCTTGCTTTCTAACGAAATACTTTCTGATACTGATACTTCCTTGCAGGATTAATTAGCACTATGACATCTTTCCCTTGTAAGATAGATATGTTCCTTCTGAAATGCAAAGACTATTCAGTGCATCTTACCCCAAAGAACACAGCACTAGAATTCATGCTCAGTCAAGGGATGAAATGCTGTTTCATTACAAATGCACAAACTCATACTGGGTGACTGAAGAACACGTAACACTTCCCTATTTCTCACCCTGTTTTAGCCAACACACTACACTTTCAGAACATCAGTTCTGATGAAAACTAGGAAGAAAACTGCTCTAACCCAAAACTATCACTGCTGCTTTAATCAGTTCTACAAACCAAATGCATACCTGAACATGTCAGGACAATATTTGCCTTATAACCTGTAGATAAACTGGAGATTGGCAAATATCTTAGAGACAGGTTGGACTAGTCCAAGATGAAACCCTTACACTAAGATTTCTCTGTGGACATGTCTTCATGGACAGCATGTCTCAAAATCTCCATGACAAAGCAGGCTGAACAGCTCATACATCTCCGCTTAGACTGAGCTGAAACATTCCTCCAGATTCTGCTGACAGTTATTGATTAAATCTCTTGATTTAAATGAGAGCCTACAAGCTTAGTATATGCATCAAGACATACAGAAAAGACATTTCAAATCAGATGTTTTACTCTGCAGTGAAATCGCCTCTACAGGTGCGGCTGCTCCTCTGGGAATTGTGGCTGCTGGCTTTGACTCAGCAGGGCACGGTGCACAAATGCACTCATGATTAGCTGAGAATTTTAACCTGAAGGCTGCAGTCTCCTGCAGTGAATCTTGGACACCTTGGCTTTGTGAATATTGGACACCTTCAAATGGGGAGGGGTGGAACAACTTGACATAGTCTAGTCTGACAGCAGGGTACTCTAGTCAGGGATGACTAGAGGTGTGCTTGCAAACTCCCGCAGATCCAGACAGGATATGAACTCAGATGTCTCAGCTCCTGCAGCACTTCACATCAGGATTTCAAATTGTGACAAGTGGATCATACCCAAAAAGGTATTTTGATTACTGTGGCTACCACTATGAGGCACAAACTTTCTACAGACATTGGCCAACAAGACTGTGCAAGAGAATATGGATTCCACTGTGTAATCCACAATGAATGCACACCTTGAATATGGAATCCATCCTTGTTTTTCCCATCTCAAAAAGAATTCAGTAAAACTGCAGGCTGCACCCCAAGACAAGACCAAGGTTCCTGTGGGTTGTGCAGGTCAGTGTTGGAATGCCCTGCTATAGGCTGTTGTGCAAGTTGAAGGTAGTCAAGAGGAGATAGAGCCAGTAAATATCAAGACACCTCTTCTGGCTTGAGGAGTCCCTGAGCTGCAAGCTGCAGGGAAACATGGGCAGAGCTGAGTAAAGTGTCTCCACAGGTTCATCCAGTCCCCTCAACCCTCCCTCTTGGTCACTCATAGGCACATGGTATTGGGATGGTCCATCCTGTTGTTCCAGTTTGGTTACTTCTCTGCTGCACCCCTTCGTAATGTGTTTGTAAACTCTGACTCAGTTGAGTCTTTGTGCCTCCAGATTAGTCATCAAAGTTATCCCCTGAGGCCAAATTCAAGAGATATTCTGATCTACCTAATGTGTAACTGTGGCATGCAATTGTTTCTTTTTAACAAGTGAGATAACAAAAGGTGTGAGTCCAGGTAAGATAAAAAGGGCATGAGAAACAGAGAGGAGATGAATAGGGAGAGGATGATGGACAATGCAAACCTTTTAAGTGGTCAAGTTCCTAGGGTAGGGTACATAATGCTATCCTTTTGAATAGGGCACATGGGAAACTTTTCTAAAAATTACAGAAAGCTCCCACTATAGTCTCAACCAGTTATTAAAGTTTCTGCTAAATTTAAAGAACTTAAAAAATTCAGTCAAACAGAACAACAAAACAGCCTGTCTTTTACTTGGGTCCTTACACTCTGGGGAAGGTAACAGCACTGGGGAAGCTGCTGATGGTAGGTGTTGCCTAAAGTAGCATTACTGCAGGAGAAAACAGATCAGCTGTTTGTCTCTAGAATGACAGATCTGCCTCTAAAGAAAAGAAGAATAAAGTCAGAGATTAAAAGAGGGATTGAAATAAACATATGAAACTTGGGGAAAGTATTTTAATGGCAAGCTAAATTGAGACCTATGAATATGGAATCAGATTACAGAGAAAATCAACACCGGTAGCAGTTTTGAAGTCCTTTATGATTGATTTTTTTGGTTACGTCATACACATGTTTAAAAGTAGACAACTAATTTACTCTTTTGAGGTGTGAGCTTGAAAGAAGTACAGTAGCAGTAATTTCCTGGTATTACTACCTTTGTTCCTCTTCCCCACATTGCATAGGTCACCTTGAACATCCACAGCATTACGGAACCTCTCAGTGAGCTGTGGTACTTGGTGTGCACAGGCTGTTTTGAATTGGTTTCTTCCATGGAAGTTATGGACATGTACCAGCTATGAGCCTGGCTGAGTGCAGCCAGCAGTAAACTATACTGGTGAAAGTTCTCTGAGTTTAAAGATGAACAATTTCAACTTAGCTTTAGAAGCAACATTTTAGCAAGAAGTAAAATACCTGTATAGAGAAATGTGTTTGTATGTCCTCCAATCACAACATCCACTCCTTTCACTTTTTGGGCAATATTTTGGTCCACGGTAAAACCAGAATGTCCTAATGCAATTATTTTGTTCACTCCCATAGCAGTAAGTTTATTCACTTGCAGTTGCAGTGCTTCAATTTCGTCTTCAAAGGTTACATCATCCCCTTAAAAAAACAAAAAAAGATGAAAAAAATTTACTTACAAAGTTCTTCAATTGCTAGTTAAAAATAAAGAAGTTGACATCAGATATTAGTTTGTATAATTAAAAGGACTTTGAATGGCAGTGCCTTTCAAATATCTGGTTCAAGCTCTTGATCTGAGCTGATGTTTTTCAGTCTCTCAGGAGCACCTCTGTGCTTAGACTAATACAACATTTCTGCAACAAGCTGTATGTACTTCCCCAGATGAAAAAAAGTTATAACTCCATAAAAAAAATAATTCACGTCAATAGTAGGATCAAAAATTGAATGGCTTTTATTATGTAACTAGAGAAAGGAAACTAAATGTCAGTGTTTGAATATAAACACTTGTATTCTATTACAAAGAGTTTTTTAATTCCCCAACTGTATTTCTTTGAGATCATCTATATTCTCCCAAGTTAAATCTCCCTTTTTACTGCACACTCATCTTGTTCTTTCCTTTATCCCCCTCTCCCCAACGCTTTAAACAGCAGCTTCTTCAAAGTCCTCCATGAAACTCTGAACTGCCCTTTTATACAAATTAACTGACCTAATGTGAACCACTCTCAGTAAGACCAATACAGCACAACACACATCTGAGATACTATTCTGAAACAACAATGTAAGGAATGGAAATTCTGGAGAGGAGAAACCTTTTCTGGACAAGGATGTTCGGAAACTGACAATCTTTCTGCAAGCTTCCTGTGCCTGCTGAAATTACTGTAACGTGCCAAATAGTTACACGAACACTGGAATAACAGGCATTTTTATCCTGGGCACAGTGGTTGGGGTTGCACAAAAGGACTTCCTATGTAAGAGGATACTGACAAAGTTTTTAAGAACAGAGTTTAAGCACAAATTCAACCAATTGTAAACTTAGACTTTCTGGTGAAGACAACCAAGTGACTTTTCTACCAGTTCCTCCTCTACCTAATTCCTTCCTGCAGAGTTCTGTGATCAGATCATTTTGAAGAATGCCTTTAAAGTAAAAAGATTTACGTTATTTCATAACAAAGGGAGGAGTGAAACGAATTCACAATCCACTGCAAAATGTTTCAGGAAATGAGGAGGAAGCTGCTACAATGGAAGAGATAAAAGAGGGTTACATAAATTGGTTCAGCACCACACCCATTCAATAGTTCTGTTAGTGCCAGAGGGAATCTCTGTAGGGCACATGGCAGAGTGAATTGTGCAGTGCCTACCCACATTTTCTTCCTGTGGACCTCTTCTCAGAATCAAAGAGCCAGAAGTTAATTGAGGTTGGAAGAGACCTCCAGGAGCCATGTAATCCAAAACCCACTCAAAGCAGGAACTGAAAGCCAAATGAGGATGCTCAGGGTCTAGTCTGAGCTGGCTGAAATTCCAGTCTCTCTGGACAACCTGTTTAATGACTTACCATGCTTACCATGACAAATTTTTTCCTTAAGCCCCCATAATTTCCTTTGTTACTGCTTGAGCCCATTGTTTCTCTTTCACCTCTGGGAAGTGTCTGTCCCTGTCTTCTCTATAAATTCCCTTACACCACTGGAAGACTGCACTTGGTTCCCCTCTTAGCCTTCTTCTCCAGGCTGAAGGAAGCCACTGGCTTCAGCCCCTCCTTGCACATCCTTGCATTTGACAGCAGCTGGCCTGATGCAGAGCTGCTGGCAGAAAGGGAAGTGCAAGAATTGACCCCTGAGCGCAGGCTCTTCTCCGTACTCCTCTCACCACCATGGACCAGCTGCACCCCAATGGTGTGGGGAGCAGTTCTGCAAAGAGAGCTGAGCTCTTGAAACAAAGACCAGGAACAAGCCACTGACGAGCTGTGCCAGCATGCAGGTGCCTGCGGGCTAACTTCTCCATGGCCAGTAGCCAGGTGGTCCATGACAACCAAACTCTCCCCATCAGCACCAGCTCTGTTATCCCTCCACGCCACTGCAGTGTACAAACGTGCTGTACATTGAAGACACATTATTATTAGTCTTCAATCCACAGAATCATAGAATCTTTTAGGCTGGAAAATGCCTCTAAGGTCAATGAGTCCAACCATTAACCAACACTGCCAAGTCCACCACTAAACTGTGTCCCTAAGTACTACATCTACACCTCAAGGGATGGTGACTCCAGCACTTCATTGGGTAAGTTCCAGCACTGTTCCAGTGCTTGACAACCTTTTCCAAGAAGAATTTTTTCCAAAAATCCAATGTAAACCTCCCCTGGCAAAACTTTGAGGGCATTTCTTCTTGACCTGTCACTTGTTATTTAGGAGGACACAGTTCCCCACCTTGCTACACCCTTCTTTCAGGTAGCTGTAGAGAAAAGGTATCAAAACAAACCAACCCACTTTCATAATGAGGGAAAAAACAAGGCCTATCCCATGCAGGTAAGCCCATCCCTCTCCCAGGACTGTTAAGTCAGGACAGGCAGACACCAGAGCTCAGGTGGGTTGTCTCACTGCCAATCCACCCATCCACTTGTCTGATCTCATCTTGTCTGCTTTGCCCTCAGAAAGGGAATTCTGCTTGGGACTGCAGGGGTTTCTTTCACCCCTTCTCCATGGCCTAGCCATTGCACTGCACACAGCTTGGCACCCTCGTCATCTGAGTATTTGGTGTAGGTGGGATGAAAGGTTTGAAAAGTTATACAGGCTACAGCCAGCAGGTTTGAAAGTTATACAGTGGGGGACTGTAAGAGCAGTTACACAGTGTTCAATTCTCTAAGAAACCAGGCAAGAAGCAATATACTGCTTAGCACTCATCTGGGCATTGTTCAAAACAATTGGAATCAAAATGACTAACTTGTTGCTCATGTCAATATTTCACTTCTCTTTCACGGTATTAAGCTGATGTGGCATCTTCTCTTTTTAGATGAGGTGGAGTTTCAGAAAAAACAGCCATACTGCTACAACTGAACAAGGAAAAGAACTGTCTGCCTGTTAAAAATATTACTCAAGATAGCCAGAGTAAAGTGGAAAAAATGCAATTTAAAATTCCATTTCAGAAAACTCTTCCGTTGATAATTTCAGTAAATATTTTGCTGCCTGCAGGGTTACAACGTCAGTTTGGGTTTACACCTTACACAAAAAATACAGTGGACCAAACAACATTACAGAACTAAAGCAAGTGGACTGGAACCATCAAATAGTAGAAAGATGGCCTTGTGATTATCAGTTCAAAGTAAATACACAGATAACTGTGCACCAAGTTATGAGCAACTCTTGCAAGACATGGAAAAACCTGCTGACCACTCAGCTGAGATAGCTGTACATAGCAAAACAGAGAACTCCAGAAAAACTGCCAGTTGGCTGTAAACTACAAATGTGTTCCCCATCCCTATGGGTTTCCAAACAATGACATTAAGAGTACATTCAGCAGAGATTAGTTGGTCCCTGCCAATGGAAACACTGAGATTTAAGGACTTCATACTCTGTTCAAGTCTTTTGATAACCTTTTTTAAGCAGACTATGAAAAGCACAAGTTGTAATTTCATAGCTGGGTGGAAGTTATTGAGATTTAACAATAGAAGAAATCACACTCACAAAACATTTCCACAGAAGTCAGTAATGTAGGAATTCACGTTTCAGCATTCTCAAGCTTCCTGTTTGCCTTGAGAATGCCCTAAGAGTATAAAGCATGCCAAAGCACACAGAGGCAGAGAAAACGGAATCATCTGGAAGAAATGTGTAGAGATAAGCAAGGTGCTGAATTTAACATTTGCAAGGTCCCTTATTAATAGAATATAAGGAAGTAGGGCGATAATTACTTAGCCACCGACACATGTCTGCCATGATTTTACCAGTCTGAAGGTTTGCTAGTTCATGGGCAATATATAGTCACTGAGTTATATTAGCATGCCCTGAGTTCACATCTTCAAAGCTTCTAAATATTCCTCCACACACCAAGAAGGCAAAGCAGAATACTATAAAAACTCTGATCACTATAAATGCTGCTGTTAGAATTTGCTCTGCTTTTTGTGCAGTTACACTGTGGGATATACTTCCTCAGGGATGCTTCAGCTCCATCTATGGAGCTAACAAGACTTCCCTTTTAACACTGCTTTTTTATCTAGCTGTGGTCTCTTACAATGTCTCAGCATACTGAGGCATTGGATATGATGTCTAAATGTTATTGGAAATATACTTGAATGCTTCATACAATCATTCCAGCACTATCTGGAATTTCTGGATTTTCACCTAGTGTATTTATTTGCAAGAAAGTTGCTTTGATGACCTCGCTGCCCCAACACAGGAGTTTGGAAGAAGAGCAGCAGCAGATTTCATTAATCCCTAACAGAGGACAATATTGATTGTCATTATTCAAACTTAGCACGACATGATATCTACCTTCACGCCCTCGGGCACAGGTAAAATTCTACTACCTACAAAAAACACAGATCAATTTTCTTTTTTGTTGGGGGAAAAAAAGACAGGAATCCAAAACCTTAACACTGCAAAACAGAAGTGAGATCAATAAGTCTATTCAGACCTCAGATGTCCGTTCTTGACAGGTTAAACATACAACACTGGAATTAAAAAACACAGAAGGAATAGTTTTATGTTCTAATACTTCCTAAAAGTATTGAATATTCCTTTTGTCAGGAAAACAATGCACTGCTTCTGTATTACTAAGCAATAGAAAGAGAAATATTAATACGATATCCACTTTCAATGTGAAAGTGTTTTAAACCAGTTCTTGGAGCATCCCCAACTGCAAAACCAAGGGGTGAAACTCTGTTTTTGTTACATGTAGACTGAACTCTGAGCAGGCAGTGACTCATATCTCCTACAGCTGATTTAAATGTGTTTCTCATTCCAAAACAATTTTATTTTACTAAAAAACCAAACCCAAACAAAACCCTCATCAAACCAAACCCCCTGAAATGCTGGAAAAAATAGGCAGAAATTGAGAAGCCTTTATCCTCATAAATTCTAATTTTACTCATGAATGCAGCAATTGTGGTAAAAGCTGAATGGGTGTTCCTTCTGTAGTCTAATTTCTGCAAATATTTTGAGAGGCTAAAAACATCTTGGGCAACTTTTGCTTCAAAAACAAGTATGAACCTCTCCTTGTTTTTGGGCATGGAGGCATCCAAGAACAAAATTTCAACACACAGAGAAATATCATACTTCACCTAGAGATAAGTTGTATCCATGTTTTAACTTTTTTTAAAATGGATAAATAAAATAAAATGGAATATAAATGAAATATAATTAAAATCATAAATCATTAAATATTGTAAATAAAATATCATGGACTATAACTTTAAAAACCAAAGCAAGAATGAAAATTCTAGCAGCCTCTGAGCTCTCCTGCAATCTCACTGAATTTCTGATATTCTTAGATATGGTCCAGGTCAGTATGAATGAGGGTTTTAATGTTAGCAAGCCTTTTTAAGGATAAAAATCAGGCAAAGTTGAGTAATACAAGTAAATACTGATAAAACAAGAGACTTCCCACTTTCCAGCTGAAAACATTCATCTTTGGATTTAAAAAAAGTAGGCAAATAACAAAAGTAGTAACAAAGGACATAAACTTACATACTAAAGAAAACATACCTGGCTGTGAAAGAAAAGACGTTTCCTTTGTAGTGTAGCCAACAATTCCAACTGATTCTGAGTCAAAATGAACTATTTTAAAAGGATGAACATATCTCATCATTTCGTTTGCTAATGGAGTTTTCCCTTTAATATTTGCACTCAGGACTGTAAAATTCGCATTTTTAAGAAGAGGATCCAATAATCCGCTCACACCTTCATCAAACTCATGGTTACCCAAAGCCTGCAAAAAGCATGAAGAAAATATGAGGCCCTCCCTCAAATATTCAGTGTAAATAGTCTCATATACATGGTGTGTTTGAGAAAACAAAGTCTACATTCTATGAAAGAAAACCCTAACTTGTCTAAACCAAAACATTCCTGTTTCTCACAGAAGTGGTTGGGTTATTTTTCTTTTTAGATGTAGGTTTTTGTTTTTCAGATTCTCTTACATAATGAAACAGATGTGAAAATCAAAATCCAAAACCTATCCATACCAGATCAAAACCCCTTCATTTTACATTCTCTAGCTCTAAAAAACAGGATTAACAATAACCACAAAGGAAAACATATATTATGTGTATGGAAAATACGTTGTTTAAATACTGAAGAAAACAAATATTTTCATTGATATTTAGCGTTTTCTTCAAATAAAAAGTACATTTTAAGAGCTTTGTGCTTGGACTACAGTTTTTGAAACATTCTTACGCTGCACTTAGTAAAGATTCTTCTGTGCTTTAACATCCAACAAGAAAATATAATTTTCTATCCGCCATCAATATAATTTCTTGCCTATGGAAGACCTAGTGTTTATCAGTGAGGGAGAATCCCCAGAGCCAATCCCCAGAGAGCGTGTGCGCTCACAGGTGGGTGTGCACTTAACACGGTGAAGTGTCAAGACTGCTACACAAAACAGCAGTACAATTTATTATCAAGGTAATTCCAGCCAGATAAGAATGTTTGGTTTTCCCAGGCTGGTTAAGCAGATGAAAAGGGACTTACCTCGAGGGAAATTTCTCCTACCTGCCCCTTTTTCATGCTCAGCCTAAATTGCCACATGCCTGTGCCTGCAAGTTTGGTGATAAGCCAGCAAAACCTCCATAGATGGCATTTTACAGAAGCATAACAAACGCAAGGACTTTGTAGCATATTTAAGTATTAGGCAAGGAAAAGATGTATCCACAGAAACACAATAATTGTGTAACCCACTACATAATAAATTTATGCAAGGTTTCAGGTTGCAGCTGGAGCAAAACACGCAAGAGGTATCAAAGCCAATGGACCAACTCTTCCCAGCAAAACTGTGCTCTTAATTTCATTCTGAGATTAAGTGGGGAAAGCTGCATTCACCATCTCAGAAGGCTTATGTACCCTTCTGTTCTACTTAAACCACCCACACACCCAGCTGTGCTTGCCCCAATGTTTATTCTCCAAATGGATGTACTAACCCTGATCACGTTCCAAACCAAGCAGAACCTTGAGGCCACCACAGGTTTGGGAGCACAGTATTTCAATCAATTAATTGGCAGTGTCTTTCTTTTGGGACAAAGATTCCTGACTCCTTTTATCCCCCCAGGCATGCAGTCAATGGCTCTGTGGAAATTTCAGGATATCAGCAGTAACTTGCATTGGAAATCAGCTGTTCTGCTGACACTGGTGAGAACACTACACACTCTCCCAGGAAGGAGCCAAATTGTGTGCAGAACTTTTCCAAAAGAACCAAGAACTATCTTTGAAAAAATCCTGACTTGGGAAGACACAATGCACTCCTAACTTCTAACTGTATTCTAATTGCACTCTAATTTGCTGTAAAAAAATACCAATCAAGATTAAAAAAAAATTAAGACATTCATCTTGATGCTGTCTGGATGTTCTGAAGAGATATCTATGGACTAGTAGAGTATATCAGAATGGTAAAAAAGCTCTTTCCTTTTGGCTAGCGCACATGCCTTCTGTTCCTCTTAAATATGCAATTAAACCTCAACAAAAGAGGTTTCAAATGAATTAAGAAATTGAATTGGATATAACTGCCACCAGCTTGTTGGGGGGGAAAAACCCAAAACCCTAACCCAACCAACCAGTTAGGAAAGATTGTTTCTCTTGGCTTTGTGTCTTGCATTTGGATTATTTCATGTCCATTAGGACACTAGCTTTAATAAAAACTTTTCCCATGGTGTGGGTGGTTACAAAGTTGTTAATGAGAAATCACTGGTGGCTAATAATAGTTTTATTTTTGATGCTACTCCTCCTCTGAGGAGGAAGATGTGGACCATTTTGGGTTCCTATACTCTGCCTAACTGCCCTTACACCCAGAGCTCCTGGGACTTCCCACCTGTGCAAAATCCCTTCACCAAATCTGAATCTGTTGGCCAGTGTTAGCCACAAGAGGGAATAAACAGAAATATTCAGCCACAGAGCATGTGATTATATAATCTTCTTTTTCACAAAGAGCAAGTCTAAAAGTATTTCAAAAATCAGGATACAAATTAACAGGAGGATGTGACTTAAATGTAAAGCTAGAAGACTTCTATCACCTCTCCAATTATTGCCTTTGAGATATTTAAATTGGATTTTAATCTTAATTACACCAGAAAAAAAGGCTGGTGCCATCAAAATTTTTTGGAAGGCAATGAAACAGGAGAAAACAGACTGGGGGTGATAACAGGTATAAATGAGAAAAAGGTAAACTTAAAAAAAAAATTCTCCTATTTGTGGAGAAAACCTCTAATGCTTCCAGGCTGTCCTAAATCCTCCTATGGCTCTTGCCCGCATCCTGTAACAACTTCCATGACTCATGCTCTCTCCTTCATCCTGTTTGTAATCCTAGCGCTGTAGCTCACTTCTAAACATTTCAGTAACCCCCACCCCTTCTGTCAGGGATGCGACTTCCCAAATTTTGCTTAAAGAAACACTAATTCACCCTTCTCAGTGCGGCTCTTAGCTTGCTCCCTGTGCCCCCACCCAGCCACCATCCCCACTGCATGCCCCCCCCTCCCCCCCC